TGTTGTGTCGCTGCCCCATCTGTGGCCAGCCTTCTTGGTTTTTTGATGTGAATTTTCTGTCTCCCGTATTTTGTTTGAGACACTGTGCTTTGCTTGTTTTGGGGGCTATAACGGAGAGATGAGTGGCTCCCCAACGTTATGTTTGGGACGTTATTTCCGATCAATCGCTGCCGCACACCTCACACCTGACGCGTGTCTCTGTTGCAGGCCCAGCCCTCGCCGCCGGCTCCTCTCCGGGCTAAGCAAGCGGCGCCCCCGTCCTGCACGTGCACGTCGTGTCGGTGGTGGGGCGGTCCTCGGTGCAGGCGGTCCCGGCAAGCTCTAACGCGGTGGTGTTAATGTCGGCAGGTGCGCGGCCCGGGACCCCACCAGGACGAGTGGCGTCCGACTGGAGGGACACGGAGATGAAGAACGAGCAGCGCGTTGTCGAGCGCGGCGATGATCCACCTGGACTCGAATTTGCCGACTGTATGTCGGTCCCGAATATCGATGCAGAACCGTGCGGCATTGATCCTCTAGGACGAGAGGTGGCCGACTGGAAGCCGGATCCGGAGACCACGTTCGACACGAGCGGTGTCGAGCACGCCGAGCGTCTAAAGGGTACGGTCACCAGGAGCTACCCACTCCGAGGCCGCCGCGAGGAGGACTCTGAGGACTATGCTGAGGCCCTGGTTGTCGTCGCCGACGCGGTGCACCCTCAGCCCTCACCGCTCGCCGATTTGGCTTCCAGTGACCAACCCAGTGATGTGCTCTGCGACGACGACGTCGACCCGACTCACCTACATTGCGAAGGTCGGAGCGATCAGACTCGCAGCGGCCAATGTGAAGGGAGTCCCAGCCCCAGCAGCAGCCCGATGAAGAAAGTGTCGCGTGCGGGCTTCAAGTGTAAATACTGCCGCAAAACTTGCATTTCGAAATTCGAGTTAGAAAAGCATCTACGTGTACACACCGGCAAGAGGCCATTCAAATGTGAAACATGTGAGCAGACTTTTACTCGTAAAGAAAACTTGGCGGTGCACATCAGAACCCACACAGGCGAGAAACCCTATGTGTGTGACTTCTGCAAGCAGCGATTTTCTCTAAAGCATCATCTTGTTACACACACTAGGAAACACACAGGTGAAAAACCTTATCAGTGCGACTTCTGCAAGCAGCGTTTTTCTCAAAAATCTAACCTTGTTAAACACATTAGGACACATACTGGAGAGAAGCCTCATCGGTGCGACTTCTGCAAGCATCGTTTTGCTGATAGAAGTACCCTTGTTCAGCACTTCAGGACACATACCGGAGAGAAGCCGTACAAGTGTGATCAGTGCGAGAAATGTTTTGCTCAGACAAGTCATCGCACGAAACACGTCCGAAACCATCACACATAAATGCGAGTGATAGATTAATTAACAAACAAGTTTGTTCGCCAGATTGATTTCTAACATATTTGCCGATTCTTATGTAGTGTTGTTTGGTTCTTCCTAATCTTGAAAGTAGTACGTACACACTGATTGCGATTAAAACTTTTTATTCCCTACACTTTTTGGCTTTGTTAATTTTTTAACAAGTGTGTGTTGCTGCCCCATTTATGACCAACCTTCTTGGTTTTTTTGATGTGAATTTTTTGTTTTCCGTATTTTGTTAGAGACACTGTGCTTTGCTTGTTTTGAGGACTATAACGGAGAGATGAGTGGCTCCCCAACGTTGTGTTTGAAACGTTACTTCTGATCAATCGCTTCCGCACACCTCACACGTCCCTCTGTTGCAGGCCCTCCGTGTGCTTCCGGTCCTCCAGGCTGTGGACGCCGTCGACGCTGATGTCGGTCTTCTCCTTCTCCTTGGTCGCGACGGCTCCGACACACCAGTTAACCTCCACACGCGTGTGTGTGGTGCAGGCCCAGCCCCACCCGCCGGGTCCTTCCCGGGCTGAGCAACCGCGCCCCCGTCCTGCACGTGCACGGGATCGACGCCGAGCAGTGTGGTGTCGAGCACGGCGATGACCCCGCCGATGTCCGGGACGAGCAGCTGGTGGTCACCAGGAGCTTCTCGCTCCGCGGCCGCCGCTAGGAGGACTCGGAGGACCTCACCAGGGCTCTGGAGGTCTTTGCCGACACAGTGCACTCTCAACACCCTTCGCGCGCCAAGCTGGCGTCCACTCTTCAGAGCAGTACACCGACTCCGACACTCTGGACCAGACCAGCTCCTGACGCATGTCTCTGTTGTAGGCCCAGCCCCCGCCGCCGGCTCCTCCCCGGGCTGAGCAGCGGCGCCTCCGTCCTGCATGTGCACGTCGTGTCGGTGGTGGGGCGGTCCTCGGTGCTGGCGGTCCGGGCGAGCTCTAACGCGTCGCTGTTCCTGTCCCCAGGTGCGCGGCCCGGGACACCGCCAGGACGGGAGGGGGCCGACTGGAGGGACACGGAGATCAAGGACGAGCAGCGCGTTGCCGAGCACGGCAATGATCCACCGGGAATCGAATTTGCCGACTGTATGCCGGACCTGAAGATCAATGCAGAACCGTGCGGCATTGACCCTCTAGGACGAGAGGTGGCCGACTGGAAGCTGGATCCGGAGACCACGCTCGACACACGCGGTGTCGAGCACGCCGAGCGTCTAAAGGTTATGGTCCCCAGGAGCTACCCGCTCCGAGGCCGCCGTGAGGAGGACTCTGAGGACTTTGCCCGGGCGGTTGTCGTCGCCGACGCAGTGCACCCTCAACCCACACCGCTCGCCAATTTGGCTTCCAGTGACCAACCCAGTGACGTGCTATGCGACGACGACGTCCACTCGACTCTCCTGCATTTCGAGGGTCGGAGCGATCAGACTCGCAGCCAATGTGAAGGGAGTCCCAGCACCAGCTCGATGAAGAAAGTGTCGCGTGCGGGCTTCAAGTGTAAATACTGCCGCAAAACTTGCATTTCGAAATTTGGGTTAGAAACGCATCTACGTGTACACACCGGCGAGAGGCCATTCAAATGTGAAACATGTGAGCAGAGTTTTACTCGTAAAGAAAACTTGGTGGTGCACATCAGAACCCACACAGGGGAGAAACCCTATGTGTGCGACTTCTGCAAGCAGCGTTTTTCTTTAAAGCATCATCTTGTTGAACACATTAGGACACA